ACCCACAAAACAGGTATTCTGGCTACACGACGTGTTAGAGGATTTTTTTTTAAATTTAGCAACTGGATTTACCCACATTTTTGTTATCTTAACCCTGCAAAGATTTTTTTCTGCCAAAGATCCGTTTTTTTGCACAATATTACACAGCTTTCTCTATACTACATATATACTCCGTATATACATGGATATAACAGAAAGTAAAAATATACTACAAAAAATATGATGCAATTTCTAAAAGAATCATTGAATACAGGCTTATGTACCTTTACAATAATGAAAATATTTATATGAAAATTTGTTCCCAAATAACAAACTCTCATAGGATCTTGGCAAGAAAGAATTTTGGTTTACAATGGTTGTAAAGTATGCGTTGCACAGACTCCAGTGTTGACATATGAGAGGTTGAGAACACAAATGTAAGTCAGATTGACCTAATCTATCACGAGAAAGACATTTTCATCTGCATAAAGGGTTTCAAATATAAACTTAATCTTTTAGCAATAGTAATTTAGATCTATTGTTAAGACAGATAACATAGGATACATATTTTTTTTCTGACAACCGAATTGTTCGTATTATCAAATGCAAATCCCTTTGTCCTGATCAAACCCCTCGCATTCTCAACCTCCTCATATGTTAATTGCAAAGTCCAAAGGTCGGAGACTTGCTATTATTACAATCACAATAGTAGTAAGATTAGTGACAAATTAGTAATAAATAATTACTCAGGAATATGATTGGAGAAGAGTTACATGTCCATTGAAGGTTAAGCAATTAAAGTTTAGTGTTCGGTATCACGAACCAGAAGCAATCAATACTACGCGTTTTGTATGAACACATTCGTCATGGGAGAAACAAATACGAAATCGAGTTCACAGAAAACTAATGCATCATACGTACAGATAAAAGATGTTTGCGACAAATCTCCCTTCCCCGATTCTTCAGGGGGAAGGGTCAGATAGGACTGAGTAACTTCGTAATTTAAGTTCCACAAACAGATGAAAACTAGAATGCGCTTCGGTATCAGTCAACCGTAACAAAAAGAGTTTGTTTTGTGACTCCCATTGGCTCTATTTCCTGGCGCGTCATACTGCTACGTCACAGGAAGAAGTTGGAACATATCTTAGCGGCTGTGCGGGCTGGGAGACGTTCAGAGCTCTGTGGATTGCCGAAGCAGCAACTTCGCAGGTAAGCAACAAGTCAACCACTAATTCTGAGCAGGATTGGATTAAAACTTGGAGGTGATTTTGGGTGGCTGAGGTGAGCTAAAGTATATAGGGTCGATCGTAAAAATTGTGACAAAACTGAATAATTATAATACTGTTCTGTTCAGTACTTAAAATACATTCGTTACACTAGTCCTTTCGTTAATTTGTATTAATGACTACGTAAGTGATAGGGAGGCATTATGTATATAAGACCGATACTAAAATTTTAAATACCTTTCTTTTAACGAACTTGACTAAAATAATTTGAGAGCAAGTGTTGAAAAAGTGGCCAGTTTTTGTTAGGGACAAGTTTAGGCATTGCCCATACTATTTTATTAAAGCGACATGTTCTGGGAGATATAAAAATGTACAATAGTCGAATGTGTCGCGTTTTGTGGCACGTGAACATTTTTGATTATTTTTGAAACTGAAAAAATACTTACAGAAACCTATTTCCAATTTTTAATTTTTTGTACTGTTAACATTTTGAAAAAATTGTTTTAAATGCACAAAACCACTCGGTTAGTTCGTATCGATTGTCATTAGACTAAAAAGACTTGCTGCTGTTTGCAACAAAGCTAGAAAAACTGGAGACTGCTTGGGTTTTGCATTGATTTTTGGTTACATAGAAATGTTGATTGCCTTCTTTTCTGGTTCTAATGTTCTTTAATTTTCTCATAGATGTATTTCGATTGTAAAACACTACAAATGCGGAAACTTTCGTAAGGCAAACAAGGCAGTCTATAAAATTCTGGAATCGAAACTATTTTTCAGCCTGTATAAAAATTTAATTTCTCTTAATGTAATTGAAATAAATTTAATGTATAAGTACTTAAAAATAAGACTTGTAATTACTAATATTGAATATTTGAAAAGTTATACTTAGACCACGCTGTGAGTAACCTAAAAACATCGTTTCGTCTAGCGTTTTCAAAGTTTTTAATATACAATGCTAATGTATTACGGCTGGAAAACCAGGGATGTATCGGTGCCCGATCTCACCAAAGCACAGAATGAGTAATGCACTTTAGTAGTGAAGTTTTCCTTCTAAAATTGTTCTGACCTTCACAACAAAAGGTTGGTTTCATTGCACTTAATCACAGCCACAGACCGTTTAAATTGAAATGTAGTATAAACAATGGAAAATGTAAACGCTTTTCATAAGTTTTCTTTTTCTTTTGAGAAAACTGCACAGAAATGGTTAGGTGATGTTTAATAGTCAAAATTGCTCGGGATGTTTCCGAACAGGCAGGTGGTTTTAGGATTGCCCATGTTAGTCAGACTACACAATTGAAGGTCAACCAACAGTTTTTCCGGCCATTTACGCGCTGTCTCCTATGTGGCCAAATATTTTTCCCGAGTACATTATTAAATCCAGGCGTTTTTTGGCATAACCATATTTTTTTACCGCGTACGAAAAATTTCAACTATCAGTACAGAAATTATTGCCATTACATTTGTTTCCCGAAGATACTAAATTTAAATTATTTAAGGTCGCAACATCCAGGTCATTAGCGACCACGATTGGGTTTAACGTTATGCCCACTGCGCAGATGACACGATATAGTGATGGAGGGTGAGGTCGGGCACAAATGCAAACGGGGCCGAAGCGGAACTCGAACCCGCAATCCTCGAGTTCGAGATCGCTACGACACTGCGTTAACAATCTCGGCCATCAGGAAGACTTCAATTATTTTCTTTGGTGTTCCGTCAGTTTTACATGCCAGAAATGCCCTTGTATGTTACGCAACGACTTTCGGTTTCTAAAGTGTTCAAAAATTGCTTGTAGAATGTAAGCAAAACCCAAAGAAACGTCCCAGCAACCTAACATATATAACTTCAATTGCTTAAATTTTAAAACGTCTGACTCGTAAATGTTTAATTTTGCAACATAAAGAAGGTTACAATGAAAAGTTTTCCAAAAAAACGGTTCGAGCAAATATCTTAAATTTCATTCAATGTTTTGATAAACACTTAATGTTAACTCCTGAATTTCCAAAGTCAAAATACGAAGGTGCTTAATTCAATGTACCGCTTTTTTTTTTCTAGGTTTCTTAATCTTCAATCATCGTGCAGAAATGGACTTCTGGGCAATTCCTATCTTCAAACACGTAAGTGATGAAAATAGAATTTTTTTTAAAACTTAACTATAGAAAGAGTATTTAGCGGCCGAACGAAATGTTTAACGTACAGGGTAACGACATGAAGAAACCTGTTCTTTGAAAATCGGTTCATAAAATCAGAAAAACATCTTCGTTCGTAGTTTGTTCTAATTCATGGAAATTAGAAGTATAAACTCGGCTAATACTCAAAATGCAAAGCTGCAGCCAGGTTTGTCGCTCAATATTTTTACTTAATAATATTAAATTGTTTTATGGCCATGACTTTTGCCATACGCGTAACGCATAATTACTTTCCAATCAGTCACAGAAGTTAAGGCGTGGTTTCCATGCGGAAGTATTCATTGTTCCCATAAATGACAATTTGTAGACTTAACGTACTAATCGGAGAAAGAAAAACATTCGTAACGACAGTTGTCCGTTTAGTGAAATTGAGACTAAGAATTGTAGCTAAAGATGATTTGAGTGCTCTTGTAAGAAATGGATTAGTTTGATTTATTCTTAAACATTCATGAAAAGTATTGAACGAAATGTGGCAATCTACACAGAGGGCTTGGTTATAGATCTCATCCAATGCCGCCTTCAACAAACGGCGTGTTATTTGGCTTTTATATTCATAATGAATTAATAACTATAGTGCCTCAGAAATAATTCTGAAGGCTTCATTTTCAATTCAACGCAAGGTTACGGCTTCCTTGCATAGACTTTGTCCTACTTAGAACTTTCCATTCGGACGTATGAACGGTACGCAATTCCTAGAGCCGAATTAAGGTCATGAGACCCTAAGCATAGCAAAGTACATGGTCATTAATAAATTAAAAATTGTATTACAAGTAAACAATGCGAAATTAACATTTATTGAAAAACTTATTGGGATTCTTTATCCGGGGGAATGTGCTAGTCTTTTATATTAATCCAGACATTGTTTCGAAAAAACCTCGGTGATGCGGTACCATTGTCACACGAATCAAATTGCACAGGCTTTATCGCAAGACATGTTGCCTTTTCCCACTTCCACAATCCCACCCGCTTGGGATACACCAAATATAGAAAGAACTACTCCCTCTCCTTCACAAAAGGTAATAATCTCGTTTTCTCCAAAGTTCCATTTATTTACATCCGAATGTTCGTGGTAACTGTAATGTGTACTACAATAATTTAAGAAATGTATGGCAGTCTGAGGGCTAGATAAACCTTGCTTCTAAATTTTCGAAAATCTGAGATGGTAAACGACAAAAGCGTCGGTCATTGAATTTAAATTTTCATATTGATTGATCTGGCTGTTCTTGTTAATTATTTTAAGCTAAAAAAGGGATTGTTTTTTCAGTAAGTATTCGGTAAAGCTTCCGAAGTGTTCAATGCCCGAATGAGGAAGCACTCCTTAGATTCGGAGTAAGGGTTACGCAAGTTTTACTTTAAGATGAAAGTATTTGATGTTCCCTCCCTGAGAAAAACGTGAAGAAAGTTGAGATAAAATTAGAACTAAACACTAACTTCCATTGCTTCTCAGAAAACTGAAATAAAATTTTTCAAGAGGTATGAAACGTGCGCGGAATTAATGGAAGCAAAATTCCAATTCCAATTTGTTTTTCGAAATTAAAATCGAATTTACTAGTGAGAATCGTAATAGAAATACCGCTCGCTTTAAATTCGCTGGTTGCTATTATAAAAGAAAACGGATTAAATTTCGTATTAACTGTAAAAATAGGACATTTGAGTTAGGTTAGAAGGGTAAAGAATATAATTTAATAAACACTAAAAATTATGGTGAGGTTGCTTTTTATTATATAATTAAGGCATCTATTTACTGTCAAGATTTCGTACTTTCAATATGTAAACAAATGAAAGGTCTACGATAGGTCGAACGGTAAGTTTCATATTCAAGGGCGGTCTTTTTTTGGCAAACCAGGCAACTGACGCAACCTCAAAAGGGGCACAGATGATGGTAATAAAATACAAAAGGAGAAAAGTAAAATTTTATTTTTAAATATTAAAAACCAATTTTTAATAATTTTAAAACTTGTACAGTTTTTTGTATATCTAATTCGGATTTTAAGAGTTTCAGCTATCGGAATAATAATCATAAATAAGTAGACATTTTAAATCACAAAGTGCAACATGTTGCTCATCTAGGGACCCTGATTCTTAAGTTCGGTCCTGCTCAGGGTGTGAAGTTTTCCTTAGGCCGTGTGAACCCGTGGTTATAAGTATATTATCGTCAAAACGACGTAACTGAAAGTTTCGGGGAAGTATATAAATTAGGCGAACATTGGAGCACCAAGCATTGAAGTCGTTTGAAACCGTCAATTATTTTCCTACTACAGCAGAGCAATCAACAGGTTTGGAATGCCAATAAAATGTAATGTTTCCGAACGATCATGAATGATCTGTAATTTGTGTAAAGGCCATTATTTTTCGAACATCTATTCACAGCTCGAGGCATAGCATAGCGAAGAACTGTTAAAATAAGATTCCTCCCCCCCCCCATTTCATCTCTGAAAACGGGCAGGGAGATCAAATGAATTAAGTTTCATACAAATGAGGGTAGGGTGGGCAAATATTCACTAGGGTTTTAATCCTTAGTTTATAAAGGTGTTAGCAAAAGTTAACAAATGGAAAAATTGCAGTAAAAAGAAAATAAATGTTAGCCTTCTTTGAATCCCAAGGCGTGCTTATTGTACATTAATAACAGCTTCTTGTTTGCAGGGAAGGCCAACTGTAAAACCCGCAGCAGACTTCAAACCTGAAGAGGATGCAGAAGCTCTGCAGAAAGCAATGAAAGGTCTTGGGACTGACGAAGAAACGCTTATTAAAATTTTATGCTGTAGGGCAAATTACCAGAGAATAGAAATAGCTAAAAGCTTCAAAACTATGTATGGCAGGGTAAGATTTGCATTTTGACATTTTAAATAAATACAAAACTTTAAAGATAAACATTGGAAAAAATAAGTTTGAATAACTCTCGTATTGATAAATTTCAGGATCTTATAGACGAGATCAAAAGTGAAACTAGTGGCCACTTCAAAGAACTGCTTGCAGCGTTACTGATTCAGCCTACACATTACTATGCTCATGAACTTCACAGAGCTGTGAAAGGATTAGGGACAGATGAGACATGTCTGATTGAACTAATGTGCTCTCTGAATAACCAACAAATTAGGAATGTAAAAGATATATATGAGGAATGTAAGTGAAGTTTTTTAATTTCATAAATAACACATTTGAAAGAGAAAGTAGTTTCAGGTATATTTTCTGATGCTTCTAAAAAGTTACTATACACATTCAATATTTTTTAGTGTTCAAAAACACGTTGGAGGAAGATTTAGTCGATGATACTTCTGGATATTTTAAAAGGATTCTAACGTCTTTGTGCACAGTGAGTACTTAAAATTCTTTTTTCTAAATCATTAAAATATACGCAGTTTATATTTGTTTTATTAATATAGTTATCTTGAATTATTTTTGTCACAAGGCACATTAATGAGGTAGTTGAAAGAGTTTGTGCAGTCCGGTAAGTAGACATTCAGATTAGACGTATAGTGAGATTTTTTTTTAACTGCATCTGAGCCCCGTCTTGACATTTACATTCGGTGCATTTAGTGTCCTCGGTTGTGCCGCTAGATATCGCATGATCGCGGTAGTATCAGCCACTGCTTCAAACGGTTGCGACATCTAGCAACACGACCGAGAAAGACGCGAAATGCAGGGATAGAACGCCAATGTGAAGACAGGACTCGGGTGCACAGTTAAAAAAATTCGCACTGTAGATCATAATACACACTGGTGTCATCTGATGAAGTTCCCCGAAAACCAAAATTGCTGGACTAACATTCCTTTTGTTCGACAAGATGGCTTTGAGATAGTCTGAATCCAGTAACTGATACAAAGTTTTTATCGTCAATTAGCTAATCCTTGCCTTGCCGTATACATAACTATAGTTAGGTTTGGTCCGAAATGGCGGCATTTTTGAAAATAACTAAACAGAAGATTATACAATTTTAAAATGAAATTGAATTGAAATAATCGAACTGTGTAATCGTAAATTCTATTTGATGTATATATTCATTGACATAAATAGTATGTATAATAATTTGTGCCGATTAATATATAATTATAGATTGGCGTGCTAATTGCCCTGAACGTACTTGCGAATAATCAAAATAAATCGAGATTAGTTAAACCGAGTTAAAATTTTCCCCGAAATGAACTTTCTCACCCAGCAAACAGACATATCGGGTGAGTAGTGATCATCGCGAGCAATAACAGCACAAACGTGAGTCGTTCGCTGTCGTGCTGCTCGCCGTCGCAAGCAGTTAGGGAAACGACGGCCGATAGACATTTTTTTCTTCGGTAACTTCAATGCGCGACTATTTTCCACAGCGCATATAAGTGGTTTTTTCATTAGAAAAAAAAACTCAGGACAGATTTTGACCTGAACCTGTTGAAAGGTCACTTGGAGAGTTGCCGATGTACCTCGCGGCTCCCAACAGAAAGCTGCGTATGATTTGTATTAACTTAACATGGTCTCGTGGCAAAAAGCAATGATTTGTATCGTGCAATTAACACGTTAAATTATATTGAAACAATTCACCTACTTTTTTAAAAAAAATTTATTTTTGTTTCACCTAGGCTAGAAGGGATGAAAGTCGTGAAGTTGACGTTGAAAAAGCCAAGAAAGATGCAGAAAGACTTTATGAAGCAGGTAATCTTCTTGAACAACTACTCTACAAAATGCAGGCGACATAATTCTTTACTGATTTCCGTTCTTGTTTCAGGAGAGTTGATACTCGGAACAGATGAAGCAACATTTAATGAAATTCTAGCTTCTCAGAGTTATCCACAGTTGCTTCAAGTTTTCTTGGAATATGAAAATCTGACGGGGAATACAATAGAAACGGCAATTGATAAAGAATTCTCTGGTTCGATTAGAGAAGCTTTACTGGCAATAGGTAAGATATTCGAACATCTCTGCAGAATGTAAAATTTGGTATGCTGGACATTTATTTTCTTGCGATATTTTAACTCTTGATATTCGTAATTTATTTTTACTCCTAATTGTTAAAGTGCATTCTTAAAGAATTGCGTTGTCTACTGTTCACTAATCAAGAGAACAAAGCTAGAAGACCTAGTGACCTAGAAGAGATACTTTTAAATTTTCTTTCTTTCCAGTGAAATGCGTACGCAGCAAGATAGACTTTTATGCAGAAAGATTTTATAAAAGTATGAAAGGACTTGGGACAGATGACAAAGCATTGATCCGTCTGGTTGTCACTCATTGTGAAGTAGATTTAATGAGTATTAAAGAATCCTTCCTTCTTCATTATGAGCAGTCTCTTGAAGCCTTCATTGAAGTAAGAATAATTTATAAAAAGGAACAGACTAAACAAAATTAGTTAATCAATTTTCATCAAAGTTGACTTATCAAATATTTAACAAACCTTGACAATTTAATTTCTGTATACAAATTTTCCTTACTTGTGATTCAGGATTGATAATGTTAACTTTTTTTTTCTTTTCAGGACGATACTTCTGGCGATTACAGGAAAGCTCTACTAACTTTGGTTAAAGGTGAAACTGATTAGCATGTCCTCGGAAACTAAAATGGCACAAAAATACAAAGCACCAGGGGAAAAAATAAATATTGATGTTATTAAAATAATGCAGAATGCTCAAACTTGTGCAGGCACAAGCTTAGTGTGCAAAAATAATTGTTGATTAATATGAAGTGTTTTTTGAGAAAAATAAAATTCAATGTTACCAGTTTGTTGTGAATTTTTCAAAACCAAAGAATCCTAAACTAAAGGTGTTAAATTAATTTAAGATTTTCAAGAGACGGAGAAAAATCCTGTAGGGAAAGAATGATTTTGTGACACAATTGGCAAAATATTTTTTTTCAACATAGATTTATAACGGTTAATAAATATTAAACGTAGGCTTTTAACTTGGCTGTTACAAACTTTTATCCTGCCCAGATTAGAACACGTCCGTCACACTCTAATAAATTTGTAACTAGACATTTTTAGTTCACATGGCAATAAATATAAAACATTGTACTAATATATTTTGGATATAATGCTCGTGAGACTCGTATAATCATGAGACAAAGTACATATTAGGACGTATGGATCCATTATACTGAAATATCTGTAACATACGAGTAGTACGCTATAATGCCAACTCCTTGGCTGTTCTGCATAAGAGTGTTAACATTCGACGCGCGTTACTTACCGCGCGTAAAACTATCGCTCGTGTTATCAGGTCTGACACTAGAGCGCGTGAGTATTATGGCCTGAATCAACGAACGTAAACAGAGCGCCGAAGAATACATTTATAACCGCGCAACTTTCCTTGACCGATGACTTGGAACAGGCAGGCAGAGTTGGGGTATTATTTTAGTCGGTCACTAGGTTTTAAAAAGCAAAGCCAATACGCGAGTATTAGTCGTACCTTAGCAACTTTTTCATTAATTTATTATCAAACTTGCTCAGAGTAAGAGGATCCTTCTCAGATCTGAACCTGCTTCGGCCACTTTATATATATATATATATATATATATATATATATATATATATATATATATATATATATATAATGTGGAGAAAAACTCTAACGGGACTTTTCTTCAACGGCTAAACTTCATTTCAACGGCTTCATTTATATTTCATTAATCCCGAATAACCACGTGTTTGGAATGTTATCAGTTCTCGCTGCGAGCGTTTACCTTATTTCGCCAGGGAGGGGGATAGATATGGCTTTGATTAAGAAAAGTTGCGCTGTTATCAGCGCACGTCTTCTTGCCACCTGGCATTCCCACGCTTTTCTTTCGAATATTACTAACCATCTCTTATCAATTTATTCCTCGTTATTTCCTTAAATTTTAACTTTTAAAAGTAAATAAGTTTAGGTCGTTCTGTCCTAGATCCTTTCGCCATGGACATTTAAATAGTTCTTAATCACATTTCAGAGATTTGCAGCAATGACAACGAGAACTTTACAGAAACGGATATCTCTGCATCCTTTACTGTTACACAATAACTCACATGTTTAATTCTTTGAAACTTCCAGCTTTTGGATCACCTTGTTCTTTACCCTCCCCCCACCCTTTTTCTTTGCCCAACAAAATATCATCTTGCAATAGTTTGTCACCACACTCGCACAATGAATGAAAATAATTATTTTGTAAAGTAATGAAGTTTTCAAATCCTCTAATAAAATTAAGGAGATATTAATAACAATTCACCGTCCCTAACTCTCAATGCACAAACATAAAGAAAATATACATATCTTTTTGTGCAGCATGCATTTACATAATGGAAACTTTTTCCTTTCGACTCCTTCCCAGTTCGAGATAAGTGTTACAGTTTCTCTTGCGATTGACAACGCTTGTTCCAACTTGCAACATTTTATCTTCTTTCTCTGCTATAGTTGACTGACATTGAATTATTAAAGGACTATAAACTTTCATTAAGATTATCAAAATCAGAAGCAGTCAACATATGGCAGAGATCACGAGCCACTAATAACATGATACGTTGAGATTTTCTCGTCTACACAATACTACATACGCACGCTCGCGCGTACATGCACGAACAGCGTCACATCGGATGCTATATAAACGACTCTTACCTTGTAAAAGCAACGTGGATTAGTAAATGTGTGCGTATAAACTCGCCGTGTAGAGGGAGATAACCCGTAATTTTCGATGTTTGTTATAACATCGTAAAACAACTTACTGTCTTATTGTATGTAATGCTTAAATTTCAGCCGCTGTCTGGAGAATGCTAGCGGCCAGCTGCTCTGATCGGTAGTTTTTTGTGGTTTCTCCGATCAATACCAGGCGAATGCCGGAACAGTACCCTTACAAACGGGTCACGAACCATGTGCGATCTTTCCTTTCTTGTTCTTTCCTCACTAAACTTAATTTACGAAACATCTTAACAGTAATGCTAATTTGAAGAGACTGGATTTATATGTAATTCCAATTTTTTTTGTCTTTCTACTTACTGTTCTCAAAACTGAAATCTTGGCGAATCGTCGTCATTCTAACTCAATATCAAACTTTGTCGTTACATATTTAGTACTATATTACATATTTTACTAAATATTTTTGAATCCATGAATTTTCTTCAATTTTATTGCACCTTTTCTACGACAAGTATTTTCACAAAATCAGATTTTTTTTTCTACGTTACTGAGTGCTGGCGAATCGATATGCGCTTCGTTTCGACGCGGCCGGGTGTTCTCACAGTCCGGCGCACCTGCTTTTTTTATCCCAGTGGCGGGAAGTTTGCGTCAGATCATTTTCACCTTTGAGTATCACTGAAGACACGTTACGTGACATTTATGCTTAATTTTCGAAAAACTTTGGCGATCGCCGACTTGTAACAATTCTGTGAGAACGCTGCACGCTGCAATGACCCCCCCCCCCATCTCAATTAGTTTTCTTATCGAGTTTCCCTGATTCATTGAGCAAATAATGAGATGGCCGCTGGTTTTGCATCTGGACATAAAAGAACCTTGTTTCTGTCCACCTTTGATTTGTTTGCTAGTCGTAGATATCGCCAGTTTGTAGGAGGGCTTCTAATGCGTCTAGCTTGGCTGCTAAACTACGGTCCTAGATAGCACTAGATGAAGCTTTCATTATTGAAGGAAAAGTTGTTAAGTGCAAAATATGCATTACCTTGTGCCCATCAAATGATCTTTAAACGTTTGTATTATTTTTAAAAGTTGTTTAGGAAATTTTTGATAAAAGTAATTTTGAATTAGGTCAATGTTTTGTTATAATTTGTGTATTTTCATATTACATATTATAGCCGATTTTACATATACAGTACATATTCTTACTGTTTTCATTACATATTTATGTACATATTTTGACGTTTCATACTACATATTTTTTCCGGTCTCTACTAATTTGTATTAACTATTGTTTTCACTAATCTTTTATTGTTCATAAATGATTCAATTTTACGTAATAACACGGGCATGGTGTTTGCAGGAGTTCCCGTCGCAAAAAAAACTGTTTTTAAGCACAAAAACGCGTACAACAGATTTTTTGTTGGAGAGAAGGTTAACAAGCTGTTGAAAGATACTGTAAATTCCAGAAGAGTAGTACAATATTATTTTATTTGGCAGTTATCACACATGTGGACGCTTGTGATCCCCACTTATGGGTTAGATACGAGAGGAGGGGGGTATTTCGACGACAGGACTATTATATCAAATCTGTAGCTCGTTTTTCTATGCAAAATGTTTTCAATTACAGAAGAAAGCATTTCTGGTTATTTTGTCAACGTTCGTTGCCGACAGTCCTATTAGTAAGGGACTGAAGGTACGTATTCTGGGACTCAAGAAAACGTGGGTAAATAATGTTTTAGATAAAAATATCATCAATTGTAAGAAATAACATACACAAAATCCTTCCCACAGGCATGCAAAAGGACCTACACACGCCCGGATTGTTGGCCCTAGATGTGTCCATATGTGATTTACATGGAGGACAATCCTTTAGCTTGCTCCGTTGATTAGAATGTATCGCAGCTTCTGACGGCGAAGTGTTCAGATGAAACAACTACCGATTAACAATATCACTGACATCTCGGATAGAACCACGTACAAAACAAGGATCCATTTACTCTACAATAATTGGATCCATATGTCTGGTCCATTGCAACCTTTTTTCGTTATTATCGCAAAGTCTTCCGCTCTTACTGACTCTGCATTCATTTAGGATATATTGGTGTGGAATGTTAACATCATAGTCCTACACCACAGAGGAATGCAGTAATTACATTGAATTTGAAATTAACTGTCCGATTTACAAATATTTTTCAAATATAAAAATTGAACTGCCTAAAATAAAATAGAATCAAACTAATACTTACTCTTAAGTAATTTTCATCTCTGCACTAAGAAGAATAGACGTTCATACTTAGTTCCAACGTGTCACGTGATGCGTATCATTGACAAGACATTATTTATGTGCTAACTCAACCTAATAAAGTCTGAATGTTCATAGTTTTTTATGCTCGCTTGAAACAGTACACAACTGACTTATCAGACATGAAAGATGAACAAAAATTGTATCATTTATAGGTATTTAAGAAATGCAAAGCATGAAAGTATATTTCGTTATTTTCACGAGACACTTTGGAAAAATTTTGAAGTCCCTAAGACAGAAGGAAGAAGGAAAGAATGTTTTGCTGATGCACAGAAGGAACTGTGGTTTTGCTCACACAGAAGGAAGGAAGAAAGAATATTAACAAAGAACAGGAAAACATAAAAACCGTCACTTCCTTCTGCATATAGCAATACACTCTTTGGACCATAACCACACATTTGATTTCCAACTCAACAAGATTCTGGATAAAGAAAAAAACTTAAATAAAATATTAACCAAAGAGATGTATGTAATAAGAGATAACAACAAAGCCACTTAATGGTCGTAGAGAAAATCACTATCAGACGTTTCATTTTGTTTCACTTATCTGAATTTAAAACAGTTTTATTCGTTTCACCATATTTGTGTTTATATTTTTGATTGATGAATACATACATATTTATTAGTGTATATAATTTTCTTCTTAGAGGGTTATATTAATATCTTAAGGGAATCTGAGCGTGAACTGTAAAGAATCCATGTAATATTGAAATAGTAAACATAAGAAATCAAAATTAATTTGAAAATAAACATTATATTTACTATTAAAATATTTAACATTAAAATTAATTCATATTCATAAATTAATGTAAAATGATTTTAAAAATAATTAAACCTATCCAGAGGAGGACTTAAGCACGTGGTTATTACCCATTTCATCCCTGACTGCTTTTGATAGTAATAGAAGTATGCTAATGGTTGGTTTTCTTTCCTTCATAGTCGATGTGACCACGCGATAACAGTCATAAGCGTCTTTGTATTCGTGACGGAAGACTGACTCAGTGTTTGTGGTGGAAGAGTTTGAAGACGCGGAGAGTCTTGTATTACTCATCGCAAGGGTACAGCCTTGGCTCAGCGCCAGAAGGTGTGCTTGCCATGCTGCCTGCCAGCCCGGCGGTCGCTAGTACGCAGCCAACCATCCGCCCAGACGGAAGTGTTTGGTGAAACGTTTTAGTCTTAAAAACAAAACCGAAAACAACATCGGGGCAACAGTATCAGGAGTTTGCGTAAAGTGATAAAGTGATCGTTGAACTGTATTTGTGTAGTTTTTAGAAGATTACGCTAATTATTTTAATTTTGTGATTGTGTCATCGACTCTTTCTAGTGCAAGGTAAAGAGAGAAGAGATTGAAAGCGAGAAAGCTGTGAGTTTTATTTGTGTTTAGTGAACGGTTTTGATGGCAATGTCCGTGTGTACGGCTTGTGCAAGGTGTGATAATTATATTTTGGGATGTCGTTTCTACGTGTACACCGTCATGTCTCTGCACACCCTTACGCGTTTGTTCTGGGGAAAAAAATGCTTCTCGGCACTTATTAATATTAGTTAGGTATTCGATCATGCATTGTCTCGCTTGTGCGAGAGGATAAACTGAGCAAAACTTAAATAAGTTAATAACTAAATCTATGGCTATTTAATAATTCGAAAATGTTTTTTAGAGATTATTTAAATAGTCTATATGTTTCAAAATCACGATGAATTTCAGATTTAATGGCATTCATTAATTCCTTGAAATGCCTATTGTAATCTGACCTGTGTAAATTCTATTAGCTCCTAATGGCACAAAAACTGTGCACGCTCTCCTTGCTTCTGACTTTTTTTCGACATTTTCTTTTAGAAGAGTTAACTTTCAAAAAAGTGATACAGTGAACTCGTGCGAAGTTAGTAATACTTAGGCCCTCCTTTTATTTTAGGAGCCCTCCCTCGCGAATCCATGTAATTTGATCTCATTTCCTTCCTTTTTATTTTTCTTAGGAACAGAAGTTTAGTTTCCAGCAAGAGGAAAAATGGCTTGTCCTGGATTCTCCAGATATTCTGCCTTTCCGCAGGTAATTTAATATTTTATTAGTGAACATTGAAGGGGAAAGTAAATTTGATCAGTTGTGGAAGTACTAGGAGGTATGCATTTTTCAGATGCACATTAAATACAGAGATCTTAACTGGGAGGTTAAAAAATAACCAACGGATATTTCGTATTCCATCACATTTTCTTGATATTCGGAATATTTATCCAGCATATTATAAAATTTACCACAATTGCTTTATCGGCGTACTAAAAAATGTAATAAAACAAATTGTTGATATTTCATAACAAAATACTGTTGCTCTCGCGATCCACGAACAGTCAATTTTATTTGACGTTACTACCGACTTGATAATGGAACATTCACACTCCAGTTCCGTGAAGCGCATGAGCACAAGGAAATGTATTATCCGCGCATGTTTTCTAGAGCCGTCGCTTCGCTAGATTCAAGAGGAGTGGCGAGTTTGGTTATTTTAACAAAAGGAATTTTACTTCGAATTTGAAGTTAATTTTTCCATGCAAAATTGTTTTTAGTACACGGGAGCGAACATTCCTCGTCACCAGATTTTGTCTAAAAGTTCCATTGCTATCATTTATTCTTAATGCAACTAATGTAGGGAAAGAGTGGAGGTAAATACTCCGGGGCTTAAGAAAACGTGCGGATATAATACGCGTGTTATACCTGTTATTTATTTTTGTCGTAAGGTTTCAAGAGCATTGTAAACTCACCACCCGTGGAACAGACAGAATTTACCTGAGAAGCTCGGAATCTCTAAAAGTTATTTTCATGTATAGGTGGCAATGTGTGCATATGTGTTAGTTTTGCGAATAAGTATGTTGGGAACGCAAATGAAACGACCAAAACAATAAATTCTACCGACACATTCACGGAATTGTACAAGTAGGCTTCCTTGCGTAAAAAGAAATTCAAAAACATTGTTATGTATCTTTTGTTTTTATATATCGTGGTTTCAAAAACGTATTTATGATTTTTACAATGTAATGATAATGGCAAAGAATATAGTCGATAAACGCTTGAGTAGTTTGAAATTTGTAGATTAGTTGGACCGCACGAACTTTTCGCACTTTCTAAATCTGTTTCTATTTCATTTTCAATTTTTATTTATTGAAAAAACAAGAAACAGATCAGTACTTTCACATGTGTAATGTTTGGCGACTTAGTCCGTATACTTATCGGTGATTTACGAATCGGTGATTTAAGAAAGGTTAAATTGGGATAGGTGTTCGATTTGGTTGATATATGAATAAAATTTGCTGGAGATCTTGGAAACGAATGGAATTATGTATGGGTTATTTAATTCTTTGTGCAACTGAAAATTTGAAACGAACCAAGGAGACTTTGTAATTGTTCTGAAGTAATTATCGTAAATGGTTTGAATTTTAAGTTAGCTATTTCATTGTTCAGAGAAATTTTACCATTGAAATTAATAAAAGGGTGTAGTTGGAAGATAATTGTAGTTTTAAAAGTTCAAAAAGCTCCATTCTGGAACCCAAGAAGGAAGACCCGGGGAACGATTCTGACAAACCATGCCCCGGACCCGGAATACCCTCCCAAACTGTAAAAGGTCGCCCAAAATGATACCAATTTGTAGATTACGGTAGAAGAAACCTAACTAGTGTTCCAATAGACACCCGAAAACCCGAAAACCCGAAAACCCGAAAACCCGAAAACCCGAAAACCGTGGACCTACGACGTATCGTTTTTGAGTGATGCGCCGTTTATGCAATGGGAGGGGGAGTAACTGCTTCTACAGCAGAAGAACACTTCAGGAAATTTGTGTCGATGGTTTCTTAGAATTGCAACAAAACTGTCATCTTATCTTGGCGTATCATATTGTTCGTGGGCTGCTATAGTAGCCCAACTGAAAAAAATCAGGTGTACAGATAGTTTGAAGTTTTCATCCTGTAAATGAAATGCATCATTCTTGCATGCACACTTTGGTGGAATACTGCACTGTAAGATGTGATGCTGGACGGTATACCAATCTGCAATTCTGGAGAGGGCAATCACTTAAAATTCGAATATATTTTTAGTTGTGCAACTATTGCTGCCTAAGAGTGATCGGTAGAGATAAGTTTTACTCTCCTTTGCACATCTAGCAGACGTGTTATATCATGTGCACATTTTGTTAACCTTGAGAATTGAGTGAAGATGGTGTAGTTATTTCGCGTGTTTCGAGTAAAATATAGTTCGTAGGCCGATGCAAATTGCTCCTATTACTCAGAAGTGAATAATTCTTGTTATGACATATTAAAGACACTAGTTTGTACCATTATTCATAATCCATCAAAGTTTAGTATAAGAGAGGGAGTGAGGATTCCAGAACTCAAGAAAACATAGGAAGGATGAAAGGGCTACCAATGATCAATTGCGACCTTTTCTTACATCTCATACTCCTGAAACAGGAGTGGGTACATTCATCAACTTTGGTTACAGCGGGGATGTATTTACTTATTTGGATTGGTTGCATTATTGAAATATTTTCAGGGTATTTTGTATTCTTTATTGTGTGTTTATGGTGGATAGATTTGTTTGATTTAAGATAAATTTTTAATTTCATTTCAAAACGATAACTTTAGCAATTTTGAGTGGTTAGGACTTACAAAAAAAGCTTTTGAATTGGGTTATTATGACTTACGTATATTTTTTCATTTATTAACTCACGCTTCATTATAATGTGTAATAATTCAAATACATTTAGATCATTTTTGATCGTCTATATGTAATTTACACATAATTATATAAAAGTCCATTACATTACAAACGACATTCCAAATCATTGAATCATTGTTTTTTTAAATGACTGTAGATAAAACAATATCGTAATTATGAATTACTTAGAGGATCTTAAAAATATTCGTAGGAATGGGGAGTTTATTCAAATACCTTAGCTTCAATTCCCCCCCCCCCCCTAATAAGTTACGTCTGAAGATTCATTCTCTGGCTGTGTTTGTGACAGGGGTAAAAACACATTATTTTCTCTTTCTGCCAGCCTAGGGTAAACTTCTGTTTTCTTCCTCACTTTTTCACTTAATTTGAATTCTCTGCTTTGACGTTTCTACCTCACAGCGTCGTCACGTTTTACTGACCTTCAAGCCCCCGCTCAAACAGGGCTCGTGCACCTACCCTGCCTACGTTTCCCGGCCGCGGTTTTTTTTCGGTCGTGACGTCATGGCGAGCGAGCGAAACTTCATCCATTCAATAGTGTCATTGGATTGCGATCTATTGGGTGTTGTTAACTGCTCGGGCGAACTACTACTCTTGACAGTCACCTTAGTGACGTCACTGTAGCGGCATATAACCTCCCGACTGGATGAAACCGTCAACAGCTGATATACTTCAAACGCACCTCTTAATAAATCCAATAATACAATAGGCGCACGAACCGCGCGCCATCTGTTATGCCCCCACTGCTGAGTTGAGCGATGAGTTACGAAAAATCCACCACTTTCGGATGAAAAAATATATTTTACAAAAATGTATAGATCCTATGTTTGTAATATATTTAACATTATATTAACTTTTCGTTTAAAGAAAATTGCTGTTTATTCAATATGCTCTCTTAAATGTCTTTATATTATTCAAGATATTTTTATATCTATGTGTATATAAATATATAGACATATATCTATGTGTGTATATATATGTGTATGTACAGGTGTGTGTGTATGTGGTTTCTTTCATTATTTAACAATAAACAATTAAAAATACAATGGATAAGTCTTTAATCATCAAATGTAATTGGAAAATTGTTACTTTTTGAAACTTGTCATGAAATCCTTTCACATCTTCGTTTTACAATAAATGAACATGGTTCAACTAAATAAACAATGATAAACGCAATTACATTAGTATTGTGAACGACTAAATAATTATATAAACCGTGAAAAGTAAAAGTAAAACAAAAGTAAAGCTTTTTTTTAGAAACTAATTAACTAGTGGTCCTCAAACGGCACGTACTTTCAAGCATATTTACCCCAAATGTACCCAAATATTCGAAAAATTGTACATAATCTCATTTCTATCTTTAACAAACAGATTTCATGAAGGAAAACAATATATCTTTAATATTTTTGTTGTATGGGGACATCAAAAAATCAAGTTTCAATTCAATTCAAATTATATTTTTCGAAAAATCAGTTTTCATCGAAAATGAAACATCCTTCATTCTCTTAAACGTCCGTGGAGCACTATGAACACACACTCACACACGCGCACGTTCAACCGCAAAACCCTGCGGAGTCATTTTTTTGAAAATTTTGAAAATGTCTTAGGGGCTTCACGTAACGTAAACCCTTCGAAAATTAAATTATTGGTTTCAAAATCAAGGGCCCGTGCCATCAGTCAGATCGACTGAGGAATTTGTAGAAATTAGCCTGAACGGTTTAGTTGTTAGCATTGTTGACTGCCGGACGGAAGGAAATATTGCTGTCATTCGATTTTTTCGGTATCTATGACCCACGAAACACGGATTCTGGCTACTGCGCGTATTAGAAAATATCCCCTCTCCGTAAATTTAGCAACCGGATTTATCCGCTTTTTCGTTAGCGGGGCTCGGCAATAAGAGTTTTTGTGCCGAAAATTCGCAGATTTCTCGTGCAGCATTACATAACTTTCTCTCTATTGCATAAGTAGCGAGAAAATAAAAGCGTTTGTGGCACAAGACAGAAATATTCACCGGTTGAATAATAGAAAAAAAAATGCGCACAGGAATTATATGTAGACAAATTAGTGGTCAATGTCAACATATTGAAAAAATAAACCACGTATTTAAAGATCACATGCTGCTTGAGGGACACTATATAGTCTCTCCTTTGAGAGCCCATCATGAGTATTTTGACACCAGAAAGGCAGTGGCGGAATGAAAGTTGAATGCGAGAAGAGGAGGAAAAGAAAGGGGAAAAAGGAGGGAAAGGGAGAGGAGGTTGGAGATACAAGAAAATGGAGTAGGAAGTCCAGGGCCAGTAATGAAAAATAAATGCAAGAGGGTGTAAAAGAAAAGTGAAAAGAAAGAAAAACAGAAAAAATGAAGGAAGAATTAATAGTAAATAAAATGTACAAAAAGGCACAACTGATTCCAAGGTGGCCAAAGGCATTTCATATTTTTAATTTCCATTAAATCATTATCATACACAGATGTAAAAAGATTTGACTCTAATTAACTCTAAGTATTGACTTGGTTGTGACTTCACAAACCAAAAAACTAAATCTGTACACTCAATATCAGTTTTCTATTTTTAGCCTTTTATTGTAAAATAATAATATTGTAAAGTAATAATTTTATAACAAAAAATCTGTAATTTGGAAACTAAAATGGAACTTTTGTATGGATTGAGCTTCTTGCACGAACTGCAATTTACCAACAATAAAAAAATGAATAATGGTTTCATTTTAAACTGCAGATAGAATACAAGATTAGATTAGTATGGCTAAGAAAGAAAATTTCAGTCAAAACCAGTTGAAATGAAATGCAAAGAAAGAAATTTGTTGTTAGAAATTTGCCAAAGTTGTAATTTTTCTATGGTTTTCACAATGAAGTGAGTAACTTAAGAATTTAGATTTTTAAATTGTAGTCTTTGTCTCAATTAAATATTTACTTCATATTTTTTGAATATTTTTCTTTCATTAGTTTAAAATTTTAATAGAGTATGAATAATTCTCTTAAGTTCTGTTTCTTCTAATTCTTGCTCCCTTTTTCCACAGGGACAACCAACAGTTTATCTTGCCCCAGACTTTGATCCAAGAAAAGATGCTGAAGTTTTGCGTTTGGCAATGAAAGGTCTTGGAACTGATGAAAAAACAATTATTACTATATTGTGCAAGAGAGCTAATGTGCAACGACTTGACATAGCCCTAGAATACAAAACACTTTATGGCAAGGTAATTAAACATATTTTACTTCTTTAAGAATCATGTTTGTTTTGCAAGAGATTATTTTAAACACATGTTACCTACTAATCATTTCTGTTTTCATTAAATGTTTTTGAAGTTCAGTCGTTCAATGCACCAAAAAGCAGATTCAGAGATGAGTTGTCAGCAAAGACAACAACAACAACAAAAAAGTTTATCATTAAAAAGCAATGAAAAGTTGTATTTCTAAAATTTCAAAATGCAATTAAATCTGAAAAGTGTGATTGTCCTAAGATTAAAAAGCGATAAATTGATTTTGGAGTTAATTCACTCGCCTAGCTGGGGAAATTAACTTATTTACTGTTCCAAAAATTTTCAAATGCTAATTGAATTTGCAGAAAAAAAAAAAAAAAATTAAGACATAACCATTAATGTGCATATCTTAAACAAAAGGGGAAGGGCTATTATATTTTTGGGCACTCTTTCCATAGTTTTTTATTTACATCCTTCATATTTTACAAATACAACGATTTCAGATTATATTTGAATTTTTGACCTGTACTTTTAGGCTATTTTAGAAGGGATTAACTTTACTTGGCCAAAATTTGATTAATGATTTCGTACTCTTTGCTACATTTTTAGCTGTTGGACCAATTTTGGACTTTCTGATGCATTTTCAAGGTTTTCTATGAGTTTCGGGGGCAGTGATTGAGTCTAAATCAGCCATATTTGAGAGGCAGACTTTAAAATTTTTTCAACTTTCTGCTCAAAATTCATCCATGAGACTTGAGGTTCACAAAGTACAATTTCCAATTTATTTGTTTTTTTTGAAAAACTTTCTATGATTTTTGTAAAATACATTTAATATGATTTCATAAAGTTTATAAAACATTTTGTTACAAAACACAAGATATGAGGTTTGTTACTTTTTGGGAAGTGAATTTAACCCACTAACTCTATACTTTTGCATTTTAATAACATTTTAACAAATATTACAAATTACAAATGTTTAGCTTCAATTTTAAGTGAAACCTTTCAAAACTAAAGTTCTGATATATAAAAATATAAAGGTCATTTACTTGTTACAATTTTTTAGCAAAGATCTATAAGGTTGTGTACAAAAATTAAAATGTCATAAGTAAACAAAAAGTAATTTTAATTATTAAAATATATTGAGTCAATGAGCTTGACTACAGCCCAATGAGTGCTCAATTTAACAACTAATTAAAAAGCACAATTGTTTAACTCTTATATCCCTATTTAATAAGGCTATAATACTTACTCAAACATACAGATCCAATAACAATATTCAGACTGAACAAGGTTTCCATCAATTTTTTATCTCTAAAAAATTTAAAATGAATGTCATTTTTATCAGGGATTGAACATGTTAAAAACTTTTTAAGTACAACTAGGAGGCCTGTTTCAAAATGTTCATGAAGAGGCCTACGTTTCCCTTCCCACCCCTGCGTTCATGTCAATGAACATTAACAATCCACACAAATTGAATTGTAGTCAGTGACACTGGAAGTAAAGAATAGGTTATTTTCCAGATGGAATGAACAATTCGATACAACACGTATAGAAGTAACTATCAAGACAAAATTAACACTTAAGATACAATCATTTTTTAATTGTTCTTGATACTGATGTTACTGTTTTTATTTAATTATTACTATATTCTGAAATAAAACTTTAAACAACTTGAAAATATTGGTAATATTTCAGGATCTTATTCAAGACTTGAAGAGTGAATTAAGTGGGAATTTTAGAAATTTAATAGTTGCTCTAATGACCCCTCTTTCTGAGTTTTATGCTCAAGAATTACACAATGCTATGAAGGGTTTGGGTACAGATGAAAACTGTTTAATAGAAATCATGTGTTCTCTGAGAAATTATGAAATTAAAAGAGTTTGCAAGTCTTATGAGAAACGTAAGTATGATAAGTCATTTTCAATTATGAATTACTGCTAAATATTGTAGAGTTCTAATGTTGCATTATTATAATACAAAAAGTATTAATAGAAAAAACAATACTTTCAAAGGCTCTGTTCAAACATTGTTAGATTGTGGGGTCTTTACGATGTTTTAAAATATTAAATATATGGGATGAAATGTGTTTAATGCTAATAAAATGAAATAATATTTATTAATTTACTTTTAATTATATTAACTAAAGAAATTAACATAAAAAAGAATTTTAATTATTTAAATTTTCATTTCCAGAGTTCAAACGTCACTTGGAAAATGATCTTGTTGATGATACTTCTGGACACTTTCGAAGACTTCTAAGATCTCTCTGCACTGTAAGCATCTATTTTAATTATTTGCAAACTTGAATTCTGGCAAGAATTAATTTAAAGACCTTTGCATTTTGAATTGTAGTCATATCCTTATCTTTACCAAAAGAAGAATTGACCTGTACAATTGAATTCACCTGAAGAATTTGAATATCATTATATAAAAAACATTAATGGTTTTTCTTTAGAAAGTAATTTGAGTTTTCTAATCAAACTACATGATTTTTTTTCTTTAAATAATAGGTAATGTGTCCTAGAAGTGTTTTCACTTGGTTTTATTGACAGGTTGTGTAGCAAAATTCCAAAATTTTAATAATATATTAAAAATAATAAAACAAATGATTATAAGCCATAATTTGTTCATTCTGTCATTTTAAAAACCAACTACAATACCATTTAGTTGGTCCTGGTTGTTTTGTTATATCTTGGTTATTGTGAATATAAACACAATATCCAGCAAAGCTGTTGCACATGTCCCCTTAAAGAAAAAAACCCTGTGGTTATCAATAGGTGATGCATGACAGTTTTAAATTAATGTGGATAGCAAGCAATCCAATAATTGTTCAATACTACATAATTGTGTAGATTTTTGTAAATATAAAATACTTCAATTTCATTTTTAGAATAGTGATCTGTGATCACAATGAATAGTAATGTTATTGTTCCAGAATTTTTAAATCTCCCCCATTTCATCAAAATATGTACTGAACATCATAAAACAATTAATAAGATACAAGTTTTAAATTGGTTGTCACTATAGTAATTTTACTTCAAATGTTTTAAGTCCTTTATTTAATTTAGGAGAACCGCAATAAATGCTTCCACAATTTATTTCATAATTTAATTTTTTTATGAAATCTGATGATGTTTCAGAAGACTGTTCTGTCTCTCTCATCAGGTACAACTGAAAATGTATTTCTAAAATAAATAAATGTTCAGTTGTTCCTAACGAGAATGACAGAACCATCTTTGAAACGTCAACATATTTCATAAAATAAAACAAAATTATGAAATGAATTGTTGGAGCATTTATTGTAGTTGTTCCAAATTAAATAAGGATCTGAAACTCCTTTAAATTCAATCATAAAATAATGTTTTTGGCACTTTTGATTTTTCGTATAGTGCAAAGTAGTACTTTTCTATTACAACTTTTCCACAACTCTCCCTTTTGTGCGATGTAATCACAAGGGTTGAACTAGTAGGTAATTACAACTGCTAGTTGCTTTAACCAAATATATTTTCATTTTCAGGCAAACCGAAATGAAAATGAAATAGCCAACAAAGAAGCTGCTTTCAATGACGTCAAAGATTTATTGCGAGCTGGTAATATCTATATATTTTCAAATAGATAGTCTCAAAATTCACTTTACTGAAGTGAAAAATTGTTAGAAATTAAGTGCAAGTCTATTAAATAGGGGAGATGAGTGTGTGTGGAATGAAGTAATAGTGCATATTTTTACCTTCTTAAATTAATTTTCGGACATTAAGAACCTAGCAAAACAAATTTTATAATTACATAGTAAGCCAGTTGTTTTGATTTTCTATTGTTGGTAAAAATGCTTTTGAGATTCATTTGAATGGGGGCAGATGAAGACAATTAACCATGCCAGTTAAGGGACATTCAAGAAACGTACACAAAAATAGTCTATTTTGATAAATCTTCATAGAATACCTTCATGATGAAATTTTATATCTTCCAGTATATGATCACATTACATATTACCCCCATATATAATGTGTTTAGAGTTATCCTCTGTTTCACTTCATTTTATACTTAGTCTGCAAGTCGTGTTGGTTTGCAAGTCGTCAAGTAGATTGCTGGTAGCAACTCCTCATGGGTGCCTCTCACAGGTGCTTGTGTACCACAATTCAGCAGTTACAATTGGGAAGGAATTAGGACAATGGTACAGTTTGACTCTTCACAGGTGTAGTACTACTGGGGGTAGTAGGTAGTTGAAGCAGGTAAACTCCTTTTGATGAAACAAATTACACATGAAATTGCCTGAGGATCGAACTCGGACTAGCTTGGTGAATCTGGTCTTAATCATCATTACAACACACATGTCTTACCTATGAAATCAATGTCGGCAATAATAAGTTTTTTGGCATTGTGGTGTCTCCACAAAAATTTAATCTTATAATAGATACATAAATTAAAATAAAGCTATGAATTAGAAAATAAAGGAGTAAATTAAAGAATGTAAAAGAATAAAGACCCCTCCTTTGTATGCACTGGACTAAATTTTATCAAAGAAAGAACTGTGTGCCGTGTGCAAAGAGGGCAATCTACAATACTATTGTTCTTAACTTATGTGCCTCAGCATAGAAATGGAAGACCCTCTTAGCTTCCACTTTCCTTAAAAAAAACTAGATATTCTAAAGCACAAGCTTCTAGGACAATTTTTGTCTTGAACTCCGGAGTCAACTCTGAAATGAATTGGATGAATTTGGATGCATTTTTATAGAATTTTTCAACTCAATTTCAATATTTTTTTTCAAAGTCAGGTTAGAGCACTTTTACTCATTCTACAGATAGTACTGCTCCTAGATATCTTAAATTGTAAGAGTGGTTGTACAAGAAACCTGGCATTAATAATCCTACATGGAAAAGTTCTTTTTAATAAATCTTTTTTTGCCTGTTTTAGGTGAACTTCAGTTTGGAACAAATGAACCAATCTTCAATGCAGTTCTGTGCTCTCGAGGCTTCGAACAATTGTTGCTAATATTTGAAGAATATGAAAGAGTAACTGGTCATACTATAGAGAAAGCTATTAAGAGAGAATTTTCTGGTGATGCTAAAGATGGACTACTTGCCATTGGTAATTTTCCAAATTTGTTTCACAAATATAGGGGCTGCCCATAAATTATGTAATGCAATTTTTTAGTATTTTGAATATCCTTACCCCATTGTAACTCACCCGTAATGCACACTTCAACTCTCCCTAAATAAACAGGTAACGCTTGCCCCCCCCCCCTGTGAATTCAAGAATAAAAATACTTTGTAATGATTTTATTTGTATATTAAAATGTATGATAAATAAAGTAGAAATTAGTTGATGATGCTGACAATAAAGATTGGGGCCAAGTTGTGAGTGAGGGAAGGACACATAGGTGAGAAAAAAAGTTATTGCAAGATGTGCACATGCTCTTTGCTATTGATGACACATGAGTAAGAGTCTGCAGCTCAAATTTAAATGGATTCTAGAATATACTACATAATATCATTTTTGAATATTTTCTTTGTGATCTTATAGATCCAATAAACGTTCGATGAAAAAATATTTCATTTATTGTAACAATTTAGTTCTGATATCTTTCATTTATTTATGTTTTTAAAACAAATTAATTAGTTAGTATTTTATTGTTTTAATATGACTAAAAAATAAATTATTTCAACTAATATTGGGAAAAAATAACACTAAACAAATATCTTCTGCCGCTATGTAACACTGCTTTACTCCCCCCTCTATCTTCTTAGCATTACATAATTTATGAATGACTTCCGTACTGTCATAAAAGACTTGTTTAACAAATATTGTTTCTTTTACAGTGCAGTGTGTTCACAGCATTCCAGATTTCTTTGCTGAAAGACTATATAAAAGTATGAAAGGATTAGGAACTGATGACAAGACACTGATTCGTATAGTAGTAACTCGTTGTGAAGTAGACATGGTGGACATAAAAGCAGCTTTCTTTCGTCGTTACCAAAAAACTCTGGAAAGTTTTATTGAAGTGAGTTTAAGAGTTACTTAGAATTCGTACCTATTTAAAATAAATTCAAAATCTGATTTTTTTATTTAATCACATATTTATTAAGAATCTTAATTTAAAAAAATACCTTCTTAAATAATCAAATTGAGAAATTACAAAGAAAAGATTTTGTAATGTATGTAATTATATAGTTCCGTAACAATATTCTATTTATCATTGAGAGTTATCTAACATTCCTATTTTTTATTTGAACAGGGAGACACATCTGGAGATTACAAAAGGTGCTTATTGACTTTAATTCAAAGCTGAGTGATAAACTTTGGAGTGATCATGACTTCGCAAAATTAACCACACACATTTTGTCAAAGAACATTTGTAACCTGAAGAAGTTTTCATGTGATATACCTCACAAATATTAGTGCAATGTTTGTATATTTGGTTCTAATCTTGACTCCTTGTTCAGATTGTTAATTAGCAAGCTTCACAACAATATTCTTCCTTGCATGGATACATGATAATCAATGGAGCAGAGATTATATCGACTGATAAACAGTACTTGGTACATCATAAAACTGGACATGAATGGTGTCAAAATCAGAGTTGTATACACTTTTTAATGCAGAAAAAATTAAACTATGTACTAAAGTTCTACAATTTAATTACAATTTCCATTAAAATCACTCATTGCATTTAAGTTTTTATTTTTATTTTGTAATGTCTGAATTCTGAGAAAATACTATTAAGAAAAGTGGTAATACTTTTGTTCTGTATTCTACCATACAGTATTAAATATTTTTTAACAAATTAAACAAATGGTCATAATTTGAATATATTGTCTTGAAATATTTTTCATTTGTTTCTTGTCATAACATATTAATCCATTTCTCGAGTTACATACTTTATTAAGCAATTTGATAGCACGACAGTCGTTCTTGAATCAATTTAATGGATGCTCGCTATTTTTCCCAATTAGTATCGTTGGTTGGTTGTTAATGATTCTGAGCGCGTCAACTACTGAATTCATTAGTGTAATGATTTGATTTTGATTTGAATTTGCCTTATTTTACGTGGCGAGACTCGGGCCATCAGGCCCGCTCTTCCGTCTGACCACGCAAATTTCGCTACGCTCCTTTCATCAACTAGCAGAGAAACAGGCGATTTGAATTAAGCTCAGAGGCGTCATTTAGGCTTGAGGATCTTTTACAAGTACAACATGGGACAGCCAGCTTTACTTCCCCTCCGAAGGAAGGCGTGCGAAGGATTTTGTCGCCGTAAAAATCCACGGCTTCGATCGGGTTTGAACCCGCGAACTTGGGTATAACAGTCCAATACGCTAACCGTCACACCATCGATGCCGTTTGCATGTAATGCATGTAAGTGTAGTGTATATTTTTTTCCTCGGGAGATGGCGGTGATTTTCCCCCGCTGGATGGCGAGATGTGGCGCCGACCTACCGTCGACTAGCGGGGTTTTCCCCAATCAGGAATATCCCACCAGTGGGACACAGCCCCAGGCGACGAGCTTTAAGCTCCCAACCGGTCTCCCAGCATGTGTATCGTATATGGGCGGAGTGCGGAGAATAGGACAAGGAAGATGAAGGAAAGATCGCGCGTGGTCCATGGTCCGTTTGTTAGTGTACTGCTCCGGCATTCGCCTGGTGTTGATCGGAGAAACCACAGTAAACTACCGATCAGAGCAGCCGGCCTTTAGACTTCTCCAGACTGCGACTGAATCCGGCCAAGCTGTCGAGCGAGTGTCGAAATCTTGCCTCTGTCGGGACTCGAACCTAGGACCACTCGGTCAGATGCACTGCAGTGACATCAGGTGATGCACTCAGCGACCTTGCCCGGTCCAATTGGTATTATTTAATTATTGAAGTAATTATTCACAGTAATAAAATGCACAGATGTATTAAAAGTATAAGAAAATTGTTCTCTTCACTGCTTTTCTCTTTGGGATGCCCTTGAGCTGCATTGTCAAATTACATTTTAACCAGGCATGGATTGCTAAGGCAAGAATTATGATTGATTAAAATGCATAACTTATCTACAGCATTAGAAATATTATTCAGGAAAGATTATCTGTCGTACAAAAAAGGAAAAAGTCCACAAAATATTGTAACAGCAAAGTTTTATTTTAATTGCGGTACAATGAAAAAAAAAGTTTGCAACCTTCTCTTCTCAAAAGCCTGAGGAGAAGGGCTTCTGGTGATTCCTGAGGCTATAGTTGTCTCGTCAGCTCTTTGCGTGCAGCTTTGCGTTCCTCTTGACCTCCTTCACGACCAGACACACAATCTGAAAATAAAATAATGTAAAATCATTTTTATTTTTACTGATAAGTTATAGCTTGTTATTGCCATAGATATGGAGCCCGTTATATACTACATAACTTATATAGATCGAAGGGATTGTGGTCAGGAGCCATCATTGGTACAAGGGAAATATTAAAACAGTTGAATGATGCTACATGTTCTCTCGTGGAGGGAACAAACCGAGGCAAGTAAACATCTAGTTAATTAGTAAATAAGTAAATCTACATCGTAGCGAAGCAAATTGCATTATCAGCCTTACAAGCAATTATTACACTGGTATCCAAATGAAATATGTATATCTAATTCGTTTTAGATTCGTACTGCACATAGTCATACACTAACAAACATTTCCCAAATAAAAAGTAATTATATTTCAACTGCATGTAATAGTCCGTCAATTCATTCAATTGCTGCTTCATTTTACGCGCTACGGTTCGAATTGCGCATTCTCATATCGGCCCCCCACTCCTAGAATGAGTCTGATCTCCACTCGTGCACGCGGCTCGGATATGCTCTAAAGTTGCTCGCGCGCGGCTCCAGAGGTCAGTCAAAGTGCACAAAGCTGTACAGGCCTGCTTTAAACTCATAGTCGTTTATTGACAGTTTCATTGGTAACAAACACTATTCACGTACTACGAATTTTAAATTCCATAACTTAATATTTTAAATACATTTTCTAAAAATATTATGGTTGTGAAAAAATTGCATATACTCTTCGGAAGAGACATTATTTTTCCTTCGGTATAGAATTGTAGCCTTCGGCTACAATTTCACCTCGGGGAAAAATAATGCATTTATCTCCCATGATATATAATCTACTATTATGATAACGCGAGGGCCCATGTCCAAGCCCCGTCCTCAAATTGGAAGTGCGTAGCGAAACGTCAATAAATATCTTACACCGTGACGTGCGCCGAAAAAGTGATTTTGAGTGAAAAAAGGTCAGTCACTGGCGATCACAAGAACGAGACACTCGCGCAACGCTACGCAGTTCCAATTTGAGGACGAGGCTAGGACCTTGAGCCCTCACGTTAACATAAAAATCCTTGAGTTTGTTGTGAATATAATTACAAACGCATTTGTTACGAAGTTACTTCAAAAGCAAAGCTGAGTAATTATTAACTGATAAGTTATTTTGAAGACGACGTTCACTTGGCACTATTTAAATAAATGACACAATCTAATCACTTCCAAATTACTTACTCTTTTTTCGTAAAGAATAGCACTCCGTTTAACACATCCATTATTACGCAACACTCACTCACGCAAACAAAGTCTTCGCGCAAGTGTTCTTGATACATGAGCGCCCTAGTCCCCACCCGGCCCGGCCCGTTTATATACGTAGGTTCGACTCGGAACGGCACGTACGCAGTGTTTCTCGTGGCACGCTTTGGCGCATTATGTTCATGCCCACAGTTGGTACACGCCCTTTTAAGTCGTAACGTAGCTAAAGCCCTCCTTTCTCCGCACCCCCATGAAATATCAAGAAAATTCGCGCGTATAAGTATCTCGAAGAAATCCTCGTAGAATTAATTTGTGTTAACGCTCTTCGCTTGAGTGAAAGGGAGCAAAACCGTAAAGTAACAACTATAATTAATTAAAGTACTATTCAGGTACTTTTCTATCCGCATCTTAGTTTAAGGTCTACATATGTAAAAATTGCATTGCATGAAATGTTCACTATGCAAAAAAGTGCATGTATATTTTTAATTACAATAATGTTTTCTCATTGACAGCAGATACTTTTGGCACTTCCAACCTTTGAGAACTGCAGAATTCATTTAAAAATTATAATATAGCAAGAAGATAAAATATCAAATTTATTTACTAAGGCCTATGTCACACGAGCGTTGCGTTGCCGCGCGTCACTTATTTATGATGACTTAATTATGATGACGCGCGTCGATGCCTGCGCACCCGAGTCACTTTACTCGCGACGTAGATTAACACTGTGTCTTATGCGAAACGGCACACGAGCGCTCTTGGAAAGACGTGCGTTGTTCCAAACGCGCGTTGCTTTGCAGGCGTCGCGCGTTGAAAGCTATAAAACGCGCGTTAATTTGACTTACTTTGTAGTTTGATCTGTGGCGTCTTGCTTGAGCTGTGGGCGCAACAAACGTCAAGAGCGCTCGTGTGTCGTATTGCATAAGATACAGTGTTTAATCTACGATCCGCGTTAGCTGACTGGTGTGCTGGTCAGCGCGTCGACGCCGCTGACGTCATTAGCGTTTGGAGTCGCGCACCAATGCAACCCTCGTGTGACAAAGATCTAAAAATATATTTTTATTCAGTATCGTGCTCAGAGTTGGGTTAATCCTTGCGGGGGCCCGGAGCGCACTGTTTCACTTGGGGGAACTATTTCTCTTGGGGTACGAGATTCTCTTGGGGTACCATCCTAACGTACAGTTTTGTACCAAACACAACCACATACTATTTGGCGAGAAGTCACCAATTGTAAACTATGTGGACTACTATTTAATACAGAAAAAAAGAAAAGTACTGGCGCCGAAGTCTACCTAATCTCTATTGGGCATTGCCAACTTACGAAAATTGAAAATCATGCGAGAGACTAAATTTGTTAGTAAACATTGATTTTATAATACCAGCTATTCAATACTTCTCTTTAAACTATTTACAAATACTTATTTAAAGGCTCCATTCATGTTTACAAGCAGCTATTGTTTATCTGTATAAATAATATAATAAAAATATAAATGGTCTAGTGTTTGACTAGCGATGAGCACAAACAAACCATCTTAAGAGGCGGGGTGTGGTGATGCTCGGCTAGGGGTGATATCTGGAGGGGAAATCCTGCAAGTTGACGTGTTAGTCGGTGTTGGGTCTCGCATTCCGGTAGGGAAAAGCACTGTCACCTCATCCACTACACTTACGGGACAAGAGATCAAAGTAATTGAGGCGCCCGGAAACACAAAATATTCAAGTAATTTAAAAAAATGAAGAATCCTGTACGTCTTTTTTAAATCGAACATCTCCCCAAACTATTCTTCACACCCAAACTAATATTCTCACACTTTGTCTTTTTGTACATTGTGTTCTTCAAGATAATATTTTTCCTTTTCCTCGTATAACAATACAAGTGGTACTATGACATCACATACTTTCTCGTATTATTTCAACATGTGCTAGTGTAGCGTCGTGTCGCGTTACCAACGGAGACCCATGTGGCACTCGGCAGGCATCGCCGGATGTTGAACAAAGGGTGGAGTGATGACGCACTGGGACTTTCCGTGGACGTAGCGTGGCCAGGGCGGCGGGTAGCGTCAAAGGGCCTGTATGATACCAGGAGAACAATGCCCCAGTCTTCTTGTTCTACCGGCGTCGGCCACATGTGATGCGCGTGTCCGTGCGTGTAGGTGCACTAGGGCAATTTATTGTCGTGACTGTTGTGTAGATGGTCTCGAGGTAGAGCGGTGCTTCACGCAGGGAACATCGGTAGCATGTCGTGGTGTGATAGCCGTTCGTAAATTATCTCTCCTTGTAGTGGGCCTATTTATTTAGTTTATTGTAAACAGGGTAGTTATTTAATTGAGACTACGGTCTAAATTGTGAATAAATCTACTGTTTTACAAACCACTCTCGTCTGAATTCCGATTACACCCGTATGACGCCACACTAGTTTCGAAAATTTTGAGAGTTCATTGAAAATGAGACCCGTGTCATTTTTAACGAAGTCTTCTTCTATTAGTGAAAAAAACTCAAAAAAAGTAATTGGAGTGATTTTTGAGAAATTATTTTTATTTAATTGCATAACTTTTAAGCCCAACTTAAGCAAATATTACATGTTTTACCAAAAAATTGTACGAGAACTTCTTTAGGGAGCTGAGTTTATTTGGATTTTGTTTAAGGCAAAAATCTACATCTTCATTTTTGTAAATTTTTAAAATGGTAACTTTTTAAAGTTTTGAAAATACATAGATCGTTGAAAATGGGACTAACGTCATATCTTTTATCGTCCCATGATACATATGAGGAGAATATTTTGAGAATAAATTGGTTTCGTTTAAGAGAAAATATTGTAAAAAATAAAAATTTTCTATATTTCGCGCAAAAATTACGTGAATACTTGTCATATTTTGTACATGGCAGTATTTCATTATCTGTCTTTAAGGAACAGATTTCATTAAGAAAAAAATCATTATCATTAATATTATAATTGTAGGAAGACATCATCCAAAAAAAACTTTTGCACTTCTGAAAAATCTGGGATTCCAAAGAAAAAAAAGCTACCTACACCATTCTTTTACGCGACCTCTACGCTATCCGAGGACATCGTTTAATCAAAATATTTGGTAACATTTGACTGAAAAGTCTGAAAATGTTTCTGTGGCTTCGAGTACATTACTCACAAAAATCAAAATAGCCGGTGGAAACACCCAAAGCCTTGCGTTCGTTCAGATCAATCACGGAATATCAACGGTTTAGACGCTAGCGCAGACCATAGACTAATGGACGGGCGGACGGGCAGACGGACAGACGGACAGACAGGGAGACAGATAGAAAGACGTCTTGCCGTCAATCGATTTTCTGATATCAAGGATCCACAAAACATGGACCACGTGTTAGGGGATGCGACTATATATATATATATATATATATATATATATATATATATATATATATATATATATATATATATATACCGATTTACTTCTATTTCGATACCAGGCCCCCGCAATAAGATTGTTTCTGCCGAAAATACGCCGGTATCTGTCGAACGATTAAACCTTTTCTTCCTATGAAGTAAGTGCAAGATATTGAGCGTGATAGCGTGATAGCGTGATTTGCGTGTATGCGTGATAGTAAGTGGATACAATTTGATATGTAGAGTGAACTAAATTTTCGAATAATTCCAATGACAGGAGGAAGAGTGAGTCTAAAATACTCACGCTTCTTTGAGCGATCCCAACCAGGAATCTGCCCGGTGCGTCGGTTCTCCTGCTCAAGCCACTGGGCGAGGGGCCGGAAGTAGTCGAGGAGACCGGAAGCGTCCATGTGGCGGCTGCCCGTTACGACCTCCAGCGCCTCTGGCCACGCCCGGCTGCTCCCCAGGCGAAGCATTGCCCTACGACCATAGCACACCATAGCACACTAACACACCGGATGCTCTCCAGGCGAAGCATTGCCCTACGACCACAGCACACATTCAGTCACACCGGCTGCTTCCCAAGCGAAGCATTGCCCTACGACCATAGCACACATTCACAGACACACCGGTTGCTCCCCAGGCGAAGCATTACCCTACGACCACAGCACACAAATTCAGACACACCGGTTGTTTCATGAGCGAAGCATTGCTCAGTGACATATCGGCTGCTTAGCGCATCGCTTAGCGCCCACCTCACACACACTCAAATATACAGATTTGTGCTATTGAGTAGGAAAAGTATCGAACTAAGGTTGGGGCTTTGCACTCACTTGAGCTTGTTTCCCGCGGCGGCGCTCTCGTAGATGTCGCAGTTGTGCAAGGGCTTCTTGTCGTCAGTTGGGTCGAACTGACCTACCTCAATGCAGAGCGCGCGGTGGATTTGGAACTGAATGACGGTGCTCACGAAGTACCTGCCATAAAATGAGAAATACGATTTAAATGATTTTGATCCCGTGGTAAAGGACGACAAAAGTAGTGTCTACAAAATGTGAATTTTCTAAATTAGCATATAATTATTAATCTGTGATCTGTTTGTCAAAACTTTTATATTTGTTGACGATCAGGTACTTATTACAGACTACGAGAACAATTTACAGAGAGCTCTGTTTGAATTTCAACGCGTAACAGCGGAGTGTAACTTAAATATCTCAAAAGAAAGAAAACGGCCATGGAATTTCATGACAGCCTTCCTGTAAGATATTAACTGATAGTAAATGATACAATAAATGAACAAGTCCGCATTTGTAAGTTTCTAAGGCTGTGACATTTCGTACACAGGGGAAGTTGATATAGACAGAAAAATAGAACGTTTAAATGATATACGCTGTACGATTAAAAGAACCATAAAAATCAAGGCAAGGAAAGACACTGTTCTAAAATTTCAGAAAAATTGTATGTCAACTGTTCTCTTTGGAAGTGAAACGTCGGTACTGAATAGAAAATCCCGTAGTAGGATTCAGGCTTCTGAATGAGATTTTTGAAATCAACGTTGGGCCTTACGAGAGAAAACATAATAAGAAATGAGGTTGTAAGAAACAAGTTAATAATAATCGATCTGTTGGAAGTCCGAAAACAAGGTGGAAACACGAATGAGTGCGCAACGGATCTACGATCCAATGCTTGAAGAAGAAAAAGAAGTAGAAGAAGAAGAATCTGTAATAAATAAAATGCATAATCTAAAATATATATTAATAAAATAATGTAATGTAATAAATAATAATATAAAGATGATAATGTAAATATATAATAATACGAATATAAAGTAATGTCTGAAATGTCGCCAAAAATAACAGCGAAATTTAAAATAACTAGGATACCATACATATTCAGTATTTTCTAGATATATTCCCACTACAGTAGAGTATACATGAAATCATTGAACATACGTATGTTTACATATGTAACCTCGTCTCCTCCTCATTCCCTTACCGGTCTGTCTTGGTACACCTGCCTACACTTCCGTCCATATCTTTCCGCTGTATCTGTTTCACCCGCCTTCCACCCTCCGCCCGCTACCTTAAGCTCATCCAAAACTTTCTCTGCTTCTATATGCTCCGGCCCCTCCTTTTGCTGCTTCCCTTCCTATCGCTCCTTCCCCTCGTTCTCCTCCGCCCCTCCTCTTGTTGCTTCCGTCCCTGCCGATTCGTCCCTTCATTATACCCTGCCCTTCCTTTTGTTACTTTGTTATTATTGCTCCTTCCCAATATTCTCCTACACCCGCTCATTTTGCTTCGTCCGCTTATTTCTCTCCTTCATCTCGTTGTCCTCTTTTCGCTCCTTTTCCTGGAACAGCTACCCTCGCGCCTTCCCCGCCACCTCATTTTCACGCCTCCGGTCTTTGCGCTCCTTTTCGTCATTCTGCTCAGCCCGCTTCTGTCGCTTCGACCGCTCATTTCGCTACCTCCCCATTCTGCTCTGCCCGCTCCTTTCGCTACCTCCCACATTCTGCTCTGCCCGCTCCTTTCGCTACCTTCCACATTCTGCTCTTCCCGGGCCTTTCGCATACGATTTTTTTCTCCTTTCGTCCGTTATCCTCTTCCTCTCCATTTTGACGGTTCCTGTTCTTTCGCTGGTTCCCCTTATTCTACTCCATCCGATCCTCTCGCTCCCTCCGCTTTTTCTGCCCGACCTCTTTTTGCTCTCCTTTCCCTCCACCCGTTCCTTCCTCTCCGTCGCTATGCTCGCCCCGCCAGTCCACCCTCCCGGCCCGCTCCATATCATTTCTCTCCGCCTCTCCCCGGTAACTTTCAGCAGGGGTCGCGAACAGTGCCATGGACGATTGTATTTAATAACATACAGAGAACAAAATCATTGTTGGTTAACATTCTGAATCGCATTTATGGTATTTTAGATTATGGACGGGTCGAAAGTATTCGTGTCACATTTGGAAGCTATCACTCGGTTACAGAGCGTTTGTGGCACGTACTATAAACATTCATATTATCATTTTTATATAATAGGCTATACGAATGATGGAAACAGTGATGGAATGCCAAAAAGGTGAAACGGGAGCAACATGAAATAACTCGCCACGATCTCACTTCGTCCACTACAAATTCTACATGGATCGACTGGAATTTGAACTGCTCTCCCAGGACTGAAAGGCGGGCAGTCGCAATTCTGAATGGCTCCGTTACGTGAAGTTACTGTGAGCTTCGTTATATAAAATAGGGCTTGATACCTAAAGTCAAAAAAATAAACCATAATTTAACATATTTTTCGTACAGGCTATCTAATTTTATCTTTCTTAGACAGTACTGCTAGGAACATTTCAGCAGTGCAAACAAGAATTACAACTGAAATGAAAATATGCCTAGAAATGGACTATCGTCCATTAACACTTAATTTGTGATTGCAATGCGGGTGGAGAATTACCGTATGTATGGAACACTTGCAACTACGTGATACTTTGCAGCAATATCCAAATTATCTTCATTTCTTGCAACTGGTGGTTCTACACCTTGATACATCTCACTGTAAAATAACACATTTCTTATAACAATTTGTCCGCGGATTACCAATTGGCTGGTGGTAACCATAAACAGAATTACAATAACATTACATAATTGTAGTTAAACAAGTTACTATAAAACAGAATTCTAAACAACATACATCCACACATATGTTTTTATCCTGACATTTTCTTTTTGATTAATGGTAAAATATTGATTTCGGTAGATCTTTTTGTTATATCGGATGTAATAAACATTCATTTTATCTTCTTCAGAACGTTATAACAAATATACGTTATAACGAAACTGATAATATTAAGCCGCTTAATCTACTCTGCACAAGGAAATAAACAGCATACAAAGGCGAATGTATAAAATACTACATATTTGTATTAAAACTGGTTAAGACAAACCGTTATGTGCAAGTTAGTTTATTAAAGAGCACGGTAGATTGAGTGTATAATTAATAACACATTGTCGTAGCTCAGCAACGGGTAATATTAATTTACTCATGCCCTATTAATTATCTTACTCATCCCCTATTTAAATTTTAACAAATTGTCTAACTGTATGTCTTAACAATGGAATTATATTGACTTCGATAGTACTAAGATAGTTTTATCGTTTCATTGAAGTTTTATAATATTATAAATAGCAGTAAATTTAGTAGTTTGCCAGTTGGATGGTGGTAACCGTAAACAGAGTTACAATCGTACCAATTCAATTAAATAATGTTTAAATCGACGTATCTTTCGTATTTCAGCATTATGCCATTTATTTATTTATTTTCCTGTTTCTTAATTTGAATAAATCGATTTCATAAAAATGTGTTATCTGTTGTTTTGCAGCGGACCGGACAATAAAGTATTCAAAGGATCTGTGCGGACGTAAAGATATCGAAACGCTCGCAAGGGTATTTAATATATATATATTTACGTGTTTTGTCTCAGGTCCGTAAACAAACAGTAATGCAACGCAAAAAAAATTAAGCAAAATCAAACGTACCGTGACAGCCACCATTGGCAATTGTACTCGTCCGGTGTGATCCAGCCTTTGAAGACGTCCCAGCGCCACAAGTCTACGATGAAACTGTAGGGCAGGAAGGCCACCTTCTGCAGGGCCTGCAGGTACAGGAAGTTGAGAGCCGCTTCCGGGCTGTCGTCGGCATCGTTGCCGTCCAGAAGCCCCACGCGCCGCAGGTGCTTGGGCGTCGATACCGACAGCGCCATCACGTCACCAATCGCCTCGTGGAAGCCTGGCAGTAGAAGACAATACTTTTGTTCAGATAATTGTTTTAAACGGACTCTAAAATACAATAGCTTAACATCGCCATCACGTCGCCTATCGCCTCGTGGAAGCCTGGCAATAGAAGTCACGCTTTTGTTCAGTTAATTGTTTTAAACGGACTCTAAAATACAATAGCTTAACATCGCCATCACGTCGCCTATCGCCTCGTAGAAGCCTACAACAGACGACACGCTTTTGTTCAGTTAAATGTTTTAAACGGACTGTAAAATAGCTTAACATCGCCATCACGTCGCCTATCGCCTCATGGAAGCCTGGCAATAGAAGACACGCTTTTGTTCAGTTAATTGTTTTAAACGGGCTCTAAAATACAATAGCTTAACATCGCCATCACGGCGCCTGTTGCCTCGTGGAGACCTGGCAACGGAGAATGTGCTTCTGATGTTCTAAAACAATTGAGTTCTAAAAGTGTGACGTTTTAAAACATGGTCTAAAACTATTGACGTTCTATAACAGTTTCAACGCTCTAAAACAGTTGAGCATCAAAGAAGTCCGTACCGTGCTGCGAAATGTATTCTTCCGCTTGCGAGATGATCCGAGCGTCACCTCTTAATGCTTCAATATGTAAGTTCAGTGCGTATAGTTACAGGTTTTAGAAGTGTTTTTAATTGTTTCACTACCGTTTTGCTATCACGTCGCCTATCGACTCTTGGAAGTCTGATAACGGAGGTTACGCTTGGAATCAGGACAGATTGTTTTTGCCTGGTTCTAAAATAGTTGGACACCACCGGAGTCCGCATCGGTCTGAAAAATGTATTCTTCCGCGAGCGACAAGAGCCAACGCCCTCTCTATTCTAGAAGGCACTGAATGAGTCGAGCGCCAACTGTAAATGAATCATCATAACAGTCCAGTGCGTGCAGTTACAGATTTTAGTAGCGATTTACATTGTTCCAGTGTTGTTTACGCATGACATTGCCCTCCACCTCTTGACAGCCTGACAACGGAAGATATGCTTTTGTTCAGGTAACTGGACAATTGTTTTTGACCGGTTCTAAAATAGTTAAACATCACCGGAGTCCGTATCGCTCTGGGAAATGTATCCTTCCGCGTACGAGAAGAGCCAAGCAATAGGTGTCTCAACGTGTCAGTTCAGT